AGTTGTGTACTGAAACCATACTGAAGGTTATGCTGTAGAAATTTTTCTGCTTCTTAATTGTTATATTTGAAATCTTGGCTAAGCAAGTATTAAAAAGTTTGATGATGTGAGAGTTGTTGGCACTCAAATCTATTGAATAATGTAGATGTATGGTTTTGGTGTTGGTAGGCCACACTCATTGGATCATACAGCATTTACTATTAAGTAAGGAATATTTTAAAAGCAGTCATTTGACAGTTCATTCCCAAGCACGCTCTCAAAAATACTTGTTGACCAGAAGAAAAATTACATTTAAATTACTAAAATCAACTTAATTAAGGGTCATTAATAGAGGTACATATAAAAAAACCTCACTACTCAGTGGATGAGATGGGATCATTTCATTATATAGTGTAGCATGCATGAACAGATAACAATTAAAATAGACCTGGAGTAAAAGGCTAATAAATATGGGGCACATTGTGTTGCAAAATTAGTCACTTAAAATGCTTCCTTCCCATTATCATACTTGATTTCTGCATTCAACCTTTCTGGCCGAATCAGTTAAGAGAAAATAAAATGTAGTTTCCATAAAATATAATTTCATATGGTAAACTGCAATAACTCACAGTGCATATTTATATTGTTAATACAAATTAAAGCATGGAGGACATGCTGAGGGATCCAGCAGCTTCCAAAGACACATACACATACAGTGTGATTCACGGTGAAGTCAAAGAAGTAGTTGTCTGTAATTTTCTGTGCTCAGTACAAGCTATGTGCTGATGGTGTTTTTGGTTTTTTTTTGTTTTTTTGTTTTTTTGTAATTCTCCTTATTGCAGCTGATAGTAAATATTCTGTTATTCATGGCAAATAACACAATGTTAGTGTCTAGGGAAGAAGAGAAACCCTGCAAATTGTCAGCATTACATTCTTACAATGATGATCATGTGTGTGTTACAATGCTATTGCTTTCTCACTTTGAGATCTCCCATATGTTTACAATTCCCACTTGAAGCTTCATAAATTCCACATTTATCAATATATCTTACAAGAATTAATACACACAACTATGTCCCAACACAGCTTACCAAGTGAAATGCACTGTCAATTGTAGAATAATAGAAGTAAACAGAACTCTGACAGACAGAAGCCTCCATATGTGGCTCTGGGAATCTGTGGACAAAAGTTATGGAACACAGCCAGATGTTCTTATGTCTAGTGATTGATGATGTTGGTGTATCAAATTAGCTGTGAATAGGGAAGCTTAAAAATTAAGAGTAGTTGTAGAGACATTAAAAATGCATTTTTTGTAAAGGAAGTATGGTGACAGTAACTAGATATTTTCTGCCCTAACCAAATTCTGTGTTATTTTTGAAGTGCCATTCTATTTTTCAGAAGAAATCTTAGAAGAAAATATTTTATAATGTTATATTTACTCCTTTAATAAAGTCATCCTTATTCTATTTTTGTATTTCTTACCAATTTATTTTAGGGCTCTTGTGATGCTCTAATAGCAATTCATCTGGTTTCTGCATTTCACCTGTTAAAGTGATTTTTTTTTCTAGTTTGTAATGAATAGTTATGGGAATAACAACACATTACAGTACCTTATTACACTGTTATCTTGTGACAACACCTATAGTATGTCTTTTATGGGCCATGATAAAAATTTCCCTTTGATTTTGGGGTAGTTCGTAGGAGTGCACCCATAAATATAAATCGATGTAATGTATTTCAGAATGTGTATTTGTAACATTTAGCATTCTATTGTCAAATAGTTGACAAGTGCACTTGCAGCTTTTTTTCCCCAATTAAACTTTTATGTGGCAGGACAGGTGCATGGGCATTATGCCATTCATGACGGAAAGCATCTGATCTGCACATTCACAGCCTGATATCTGAGTGGACTTAAACTGGCCACATCAATGAGTGTGGATTTTAAATGTATTGGAAAAGGGATTTACTTTATTATGCTTGAATAATACTGCACAGAAAACCTCTATTTGTGCTAGGAATAAGATACCTTCAATACACTCTTAAGAAGAACTATCTTACTGTGGTCTGATCACACTAGTGGACTCATTGTTGCGGTTGCAGATATCCACAGCTTATTTTTGTGGATACAGATGTAGATAAAATTTTAGTATCTAGAACCCTGCAAATTTGCAGGTATCTGGTTTATGTCCATGGGTATCTGCATCCGGCTCATTTTTGCAGATATGGATGTGGATACATATTTTTGTACCCGCACAGGGCTATTTAAATGTTGCTGCTTCTACAGACTCTGCACTTAGTGCCATTGGAAACTTATACAAGTTGGATCAGTGAGTTTTGTGTTAGGCTCTTTAGGGATGAACTGTGCATAGCAACTGGTAGGCTGTGTTAGATGATCCAACTAGCACAGAGTTGGGCAATAATTTTTTATGGGGGGCCACTCCAAGACTTTGGAAAGTGATCGAGGGCCGCACTCTTCCAGGATATTAATGGAGGAGGTGTGGGGTCTGGGATGGAGTTTGGGAGCAGAAGGGAACTTGGGCTAACGGATTGGGGTGCAGGAGTGAGAATGGGGTCTGGGAAAGGAGGTAGTTTTGACCTAGGAGAGGGGACTGGGATGCGGGATTTTGGGATGTAACCTAGGCTAGGAGGGGCTTGTGACCTGGGGCAGGAGATTGGGGTGCCAGATCTGGGAGGGGGTATTGGGGCAGGAGGGGACAGAAGGTTTGGGTATGTGGGGGGAGGCAGAGGATTGGGGAAGGGAAGGGCTGGGGTGCCAGTGGCAGGCTTTGGGTTAAGATCGCTTGCTGGTCCACGTGGCTCTGCTCTGGGCATGAGAGGGAGGGGCAGGGGGAGAGGGGACAAGGAGGGAGGGAGAAGGCTTCCTACACTGCCCCTGCTCCCAGCAAAAATTCTTCGCTCCTATTGGCCAGAAACGGAGAGATTGGCCAATGGGAGCTAAGAGATTTTGCTGGGGGGGAGGAGGGGAACAGCATGAGAAGTCTCCCTCCTTCCTCCCCAGCCATCCAGAGCAGAGGACAGCTGGCTTTCTAAAACATGAACTGATCTCTGCTTAAGGGTTCCAGCGAGAGGGCTGTGGACCGGATCTGGTGGCTTGGCGGGCCGGATGTGGCCCGTTAGCAGCCTCTTGCCCACCCCTGAGCTAGCAGGTTTTTCTCTCTTAGGTACCATCCATGGAATCTAAAGTATAGAGCTGGTAACAAAATAAACTAAAATGATTAACAAAAACGTTAAACAAAAAAGCAAACAGAATGAACCCAAGTGAGGGATACAGCCCAACCCAGCATTCAAAAACCGTGAAGCCCTGCTTTCTCAGAGGCCCTTCTATGCTTTAACTATTGTGGAATTACTTTTACAGAGTTCGCTGGCTTTCCTGTGAGAGCCTAATTTGAACCTTCAATCCCCTGTGCTACTTGGCTACTTCACCTTGTACACCTGTGGGAGATTTAAACCAGAATTAAAAGCTTGTTAGCAATGAATGGGGGCCTCTGCATTCCTTCAGGGTGCTATAAAAATGTGAGCAATATTCATTCTTGTCCCTTGTCAAAATATGAAAATATCATTAAGAGTCTTTCTGTGGCAGATCTCATTCAGTAATTCTATTTGTTATATACTTTTGGGCTCCTGAAATAGTCTCTTCCTACTCTTGCACTCTACGTGTACCATGGAACACAGTAAAAAGGCTATCTAAGAGGCCAAATATAGAGTAAAATTTCCAAACACTGGGCACAATAAGTGCATTCGGGGAACGGAGGTAACAAAATTGCATGCATCCCTGATATAGAAGGCAGTGTTTTCTAAGAAAAATAACGAATTTTAATTGGGATATTTAAAACTACATTGTACAATAGAAAATGTACAGTAAGGGGAAATGGTGCAATGATAAGAAGATGATCTAAATCAGGGTGGTCAGATATACCACTCACGTGCCAAATCCAGTCTGCCAGGGTTAGCCCCTGATGGGAACCCACCACTGTATTTACCTGCACAGCCAAAGGTATGGGCAATCACAGCTCCCGTTGGCCTTGGCTTGCTGTTCCCGGCCAGTGGGAGCTGTGGGAAGTGGTGTCTCAGACTACGCCACTTCCTGCCACTCCCATTGGTCAGGAACAGTAATTCACGGCCAACAGGACCTGGGATCTGTTATCTGTGGCCATGCAGGTAAATGTAATGGTGGCAGCCCAAGCACTGCTGTGTAATTGCTCACCCCTAAGCTAAATGATTCAAGAGATTTTCCATATCTAATTTCTCTGAATCAAATTGGAATAATTATCTCAGGTTTAAAAAACAAAGCAAAATCCACTGCTCCTTTATTGAGGAGTCACTGTCTTTATTGGTTATCTGCCACATCACAGTTGCTAGTGTATTTGTGTCTATGTGACATCTTTCAAAATCAGTTATTCTAGCATGTGAAATTTACTGCATAAGGCTTCCAAATAAAACCATGCATGTGTTATCAAATATTTAATGGAAAATGAACCAGTCAATTGGTTAACTTTGATGTAGACAAAAAGTCCAAACCAAAACACAAATGGAAAAATTGTATGTACTGTCATTATCTACATCCTGTTCTCTCCTCTGAGTTCTAGATACTGTCCCTTGTTTTACTGTTGCCCCAAGTATTGGCTTGTCCAGACAAGCAATTTGAGTCATTGAGAACAAGGCCAATTATGGGGTCACTTCTATTCTTGATGCTCTGGGGATTGACACAACTTTCTCGTACATCGGGTACATTGGACTAAAATAGATCTAGTACTTTGTTCCCAGTGCTTCTAAATGTTCACACGCTTTTTTTAATTATGCAAGATTTATTTAAAACTACAGATAGGCAATAAATATATTAGCAGAATCATAATTTACTTAGTGAACTGGAACTTGCTACTGTATATAGTCTGCTTATCTTTCTTTTTAATTAGGGCTTTGCCTTTGGCATAGTTATTACTTAATAATTTGGTAATAAAAAGACTTCTTTAACAATTTTTTAAAAAATATTCTATTCACAGGTTGTGTGACTCACTTCCATGGAGTTTTCTCTGTGCCAGTCCATCATATCTGCTTATACACGCAGTCAAGCAGTCAACAAAGAAGATTTTTTTTTTCACAGAGACAAAGAAATACTGCTTATAGTATAGTTCGGCCAGCTATAGTTTCTCTAGCTCACCCAGTTCCTAAGGTACTGTGACTTTTATTATCTGATCCTTTTTTCAGTCAATATAAAGGCTGACTTCACGAGTGATTGAATACATTAATACTCTGACAGCTAGGAGTTTGAATCATGGTCTTGTTAACTTGATTTGGGATTTGAAATAGGAACAGCGATGTGAAAAATTTTCAGCTCCCTACCACACTAAACGGAGCGGTGTAAATACTCCATTAGGGAGTTTAAAACTGACTGTTCTTTATATATTGTATTTGTTACTGTAACTGATCACCTGATAACATTTAACACTTGTAGATCCAAATTCTCCCTTTGGATATGGGCACTGGTGGCACTAGGCATTTGCTTAGCATCCCAGGAAGCTCAGGGAGGGCCTGATTTAGTTTTCACCACCGCCCCCAATACCATTCTTCTAATTTGACATGTACCTTTAAACCAGAGTTAGTATGTGCTGTGTTGGTTTCACTTTTTATTTGTGAAAATAATGTAAATTGTATTTTTAGGGGTAGGTAAAGAGGGTAGGAGAGAAAGGAAAATATTCCTGTTTGGGGCCTACTGTGGCCTAGCAGGACTTATGATATGGGCAGATAATTCTAGCTGAAGTCAACATGAGAGGCACATACTCATCTGAAGGCAAAATGTTGCCTTTTCAGTGTAAATTTCGAATACATTAAGTCTCAAACATTTACATGCTCCTGCAGTTTTGGTGATTTAGTGATTTCAGGCTTAGATGAAAGCATACATCAAAATGTCAGCCAGATGCCCTACTATATAACTTATGAACTAACCTTTGGTATCATTGACTAAATGTTGGTTTTTGGAAACTATATTTGTGTGTGCTTTTGAATTCATTATGGCTTTTATTTAGAGCTGTTTTAACAGGTGTGCTATTGACATTTCCCTTGTTCTGCTTTAATTTCAGTATGTACTCTGGCTGTTTTATACCCTTTATTTAATCAAAATAATTTTGGATAGTATTTTATAGTGATGTAAGTAGCTTTTATTTCTTTTACTAGAAAGTAACTTTGACACAAAATATAAAATATTTACATTATTCTATGGAGATAGTAAAAAGGGAATAAATTGAGGATGCTTACTGTAGAGTTCTTAAGCTTAACACATTATGGAAGCTTTGGATACACAATGAAGATAGGAGCAAGACCCTGTATATGTTCAAAGATTAGAAAAATTGTTGTAGCACTTGCAAACATTTTGTGTTTTCATTTATTTCTTTTGGGATGATGCAAAAATAAACTGTCATGTTGAAAATTAATCTTCACAGGTTGCAATACTTATGTTGTTTAATAATCTGTTCATTTTTCATCTGCTTACAGAATTTCAATTTAACTAGTATATATGAATAACTTGGGGAATATCTAAATAATGAGATAAACTTAATACAGGAATAGATATAATTGTGGGAAAAGCCATTTTTTCTACAGAATATCCCAGAAATAATGTCTATATTACAAATGGCATGTGATTTTTGTAGGAAATGAAAAATGGTGAGAAAAGGTAAACATAAATTTCTGCGGCTATTCCATGTTGGGCTGCTATTTCATCATATTTCACAAGCTAAACAGTGTCAGGTCTAGGCAGCTACTGGATGAGTGTTCTCCATAGCAGAACTCAAAGTGCTCCAGGTATAGAGCTAGTAATTCAGGAAGTGGGATCTGTCCTTTTGATTTAGAAATAAATTAATGTCCTGGTATGGTCTGAACAGGTTCTGTGCTGTATGTTTAAATGGGATGTAAACCTGAAGTCCTAATGGCTTGGGGTCATTAAAGATCCTGTGACACTTTCTGTAAGCATAGGAGTGGCCAAACACCAGTTTGGACAACTGTAGTCTACCTACTTAAAGTCTCCCTATAGCGTTAATTAGATACAGGGCGTCCCCGCTATATGTTGCCCCAGTAAATGTTGGTTCTGTGCTAACATAGTTGATGCTTGTAGGAACTGTTGCATTATAAATCCTCCCATTTCCCGCTCTTACATTGTGCAAAAAAGAGACCAGGTCACAGAAACAGAAGTCAGCCATGGGAAAGAATTCCCCACTTTGTTTCACTATACATCCATGGTTTTTTAAACATATCTTTGACCTATAGCGGGGACACCGTGTACACTGTTCTTCTTCACTTTTTATTCTAAAATGTTGTGTAGCCTGCTGTGTCTGCTTAAACAGCTGCTAAATATCCTATGGCCTTGGTCCTATGTCCGTTTGATCCTATGTGCTTTATGGGCTTGATCCTATTTTCACTGAAGTCAATTGTAAAGTTCTTGCAATCACTTGAATGGTCCAGGACTAACCCCTTTATGATGGGTGAAGTGATAACTATGTATAGTTTGTAAATATCCTGGAATCCTTAGGAGGATGAAATGTGCTTGTGTATATGTGTGTGGTGGTGGTGTTGTTGCCTTACATTTCTCTTAGAATTTTAATGTATTTTTTTATTTAGACATAGAATTTTACATTCATGCGGTCTGAGACTTTTCATTAAATAAAAATATATTTATTATAGTTTTTCTTTAAATACAATTAATTTGGACATGGTTGCAGAGTATTATGAAAAGAAAAAGGTGTGTGCAATATAATAGATCTGAATGAGGTTAAAAGACAAGGTGCATGAGGTAATATCTTTAAGTAGACCACTTCTGTTGGTGAGCTATACAACAAAAGCTGGTCCAATAAAAGCGATTACTTCACCCATCTTATCGCTCATTCATATTTACCCAACTCGTCCACATCTACTATGCTGCACATAGTTTTTTTTTTAATAGTACTAAACAACCATGTCCAATTTCACCTTGTCTCTCTTATATCCTGTGACTGACATGGCTACAACTATATTTCATGCATCAATGAGGATAACAGCTAGAAATACTGAGGTTCTTAATCAGGCAAAACTCCCACTGAATTAAATGGGAATTTTGTCTGCATAAGAAAATGAGTAAGAAGTTCAGAATTTAAGTATTACTAGATATATATCTGTTCAGTGAGAGTGTATGCAGTTGACTTCTTTGGAAAATTTACCTTTGTTTAAAAATGAAATACAGTAGTGAGTTTGTAAGTCTTCCTCTGATAGTTTTAAAGCTCACAACTATTTGAACTGAATGGCTACTGCAATATCTGGACAGCAATACTGTAAGGTTAACACACTATCTAAGTCAGTAGTAACAGGCAACGTTAAGTTCAAAAGGGCATTGGAAGAAATACTGAGGCAGCCTTGAGGGCTTGCCCTGATGGCTTAGGAAGGTCAATACTATGACAGAAAGGGCAAACTGCCATGAAGCAAGAGGCACTTTCTGAGAAAATGATCCCATTGTCATGCTCAGTTTTCTGATCTTCATTTTCAATCCTTCTTCTCCAAGCACATAAAGAAGCCAGACTATGTGACGACAGGCATTGTACCAGACTGGGGAGACTACATAGAAATTAAGAATGAAGATCAGATTCAAGGGCTTCGTCAGGCTTGTCAACTGGCCTGTCATATTCTACTTCTTTCGGGAAAGAGGTTA